TGGGGGTTTATATTATATGCATACTATTAAGACATAAACAATCATTTTTCAAATTTTTGTATGTCTTCCGCTATAATCTTCGGAATGGCTGAACCGATTGTGATGAAAAAATTAATGACGGATAAAAAAAACTAAAACTTGATAAAAAATGGTTTTTAATGTAATAAACACTTCAACAATTCAATATACAGCTGTCAACCTGACGACGCTGAAGAGACTGTATTACCGCCTAAATTTCGATTCAGATTTCTAACCTGCTTGCCAAGCGTGGTAACTATTAAGGTGCGTCCACACTTTTTTAATTTTACTGAACATTATCCGTAACCGTATTAGTAACAACTGTCAGTACCGATAGTGTGGACGTCTTTTGTTACGCGAACAATTGTTACAAGCTGCAGTTACGCTTTAATCCATTCCGAACACTGGAAGAAACTGCTGGACACACAGCATAATGTACGGGGTTACGACCTACTAGCTGGGTCTAGTGTGGACGCTGGTCTGTGTACTGTTACACATCTACGAGCCGATCCATCAAGAGTCGGTTTTTTCAAAGGATTTTGCTATTGTCCGCGTGACCAGGAGACGTCCACACTTACATTTATAACACGCTTCAAAATACGCCAGATGACACAGGATACAATATCGGGTCTTATCGTGACGTGTCTTGGTACTCCCCCGCCCATACCTCACCGCTTCGCAGCTATTTTTTTTCTTATTTTTAGCACAAAGTAATATTATAAAGGCCGTACTAGCACAAGCCAAATGTAAATTTACTTCCGCTATTTCTTCTGCAGACGACATATCTGCCTGGTGGTTGGTGCTTAAATGACAACACCAACAGAATCTTGATGCCACGTAGTCTAGGTCAACGACATGCGTCTATAATTGTATACATACATGTTGTACATGGTTTGTAACCGTGTCAGTACAACTCTGACCGTCCATATTAGGCGTAACATGTCATGTACGATGCCACGTAGTCCGGTCTGATTTAATGTCATAAGTGTGGACGTCCCTTAACATATATTCCTTTTATGAGAGGTACAAATCTCAATATATCAGGTTATAACATTCAAATTGGTTATGACATTGTGAACAAATGATTTGTAAATGACATAGCCTTTTCAAGCAAGACAAGAGACACAATTGAAGACGATCAGCGCTCAGGCCGACCGATTGAGGCAACTTCCTCATAAGAAAAAGTTAAAAATTTTATTCTTGAAAATACTCGTTTGAAGAAAAATTAAAGAAGAAAGCAGGAGTACATGCAGTGGAATAAAAAGGCGCAGCACCGCTGCGACTGGAAAGACCATGGCTTCCGTTTTTTGGGATTCGGAGGGGATTTTTTTGAACGATTATACTATACTATATAGAATACTAGGTATATAGTATTCTATGGATTATACAGATTAAGGTGTCAATATCACAGGGCAGTATTACTCCACGCTACTAGAAAAATTAAAAGATGCAATTTAAGATATAAGAAAGTGAAAGTGGATTCGACGTGTCGACAACGCACCCGTTCAAAAGTTATGTTGCGATGGCTTTTTACACAAGTGCGGCTTCGAAACTTTAAACCACCCGTCCTATAGTACAGATTAGGTCCCTTCAGATTATTATTTGTTCCAAAATACGAAAAAAGTGCTTCGGGGAAAGAAATTTAAAGACCACAATAAAGTGAAGTCGGCTATTTCTGCCTATTTTGAGGGCCTTGACAAAACAAGTAATTTTAATAGCCTGAGAAATGTATGGGTTGATGGAGAATATATAAAAAGTAAAAATAATTTCATGTGTAATTTCATCCCTTTCTCCTTTCATTCCGCGAACCGTTTGACCTCTCCTCATATGTAGAGTAAGTTCTCTAAATATGGACTATCATAGTGATTTATTTAAATAAAACACAAAATATTGTAAACATTTCAAACTAGGTAGCTCAATACGGACCACTAGGTTTTTAATATGGACCTAGGGTGTGTTATACGGCGCACACCATTTTTTGATAGGGAATAACATCCTTTTTATTTAACAATTCTAATGATATATTTACAATCAGGAATGGTTATTACATAATATTCGGTTAGTATTGATTCTTTTTGCAAAAATTTACACATAAAGGAAACATTCTCTACGTCTACACAACATTCTTCGTGTCCATAACCGACAAGGACACACATTGTTCTCCACAAACGTCTTCAGAAAAGAGATCTTTATAATACAAACATTTTTCATTATCATTCTGGGATCGATCAGGACTTTTATCAGTATCATCATTCACTGAATAATCACCACCCTCAGAACTAGAAGTCGAGTTCAATAACTTTTCAAGAGTTTTTTCTTTCGATTGTTTTTCTTATGTGCTAATTTTATCTTTGGTCTCATCTTTGTCTCAACATTTTTCTTGTGCTCCTTTTCAAGTTGTTTTTTGGTCCTGATTTCTTTTTTGTCGCTGTATTTTTCCTTAGTCTCTCTTTTGATTTTCTTTTTAGTCTAGATTTTTTTTCGCTGCAATCTTCTCTGGATCTTCCTTGCTCGAACTCTTGTAAAATTTCTTTTTTTCAATGATTCTGCTTCTTTTCGATTTATTGATGTTTCCAAATAAGTTTATATGGTTATAAAGTCAAAACATGGATTTTGTGGCTTTTCTTCCTCTGTTACTGAATTTATCTTTAAACGTGGTGCAGGAAACAACTGTTTTGGAGACAAATTGATCGTAGACATGAAAGGACCAGCGGATAAGAAATCTGATAGCTATTAGATGGATCGGAACTGGAGTGGAGAATAACGGACCGCTGGCATTCATACATATTACGCAATTTACTGTCGAACCTCTTTCAGCTGATGTTATTAGTCTTTTACCATTTTCGGCTAATATTTCTGGAGTTTTTGTAGTCACCACCCTTATTCCGGTTTCATCAACATTGTATATTTTTATTTACAGTATACTTCAACTTATCCATAGCTTCTTCTAACAGCTTGAGAAAAGATTTTACATTTTCCTTGTTAAATAAAAATGAACGCAATGAATGTATCAGTTGGTTAACGAATGATAAGATTTCGATGGCGTTGTAAAAACAAACGCCATATCTTAATACAAAAAGTGAACAAGGTCTATAATATGGACCAGTGGATCATAATGCAGACCATTACTCCATTTATAAATTTATAAACATAAAAAAATATATAAACATTCATGGGTCCATATTACAAAATGATGCAATATCGGTCATAATTTCATAAAAAGATAATGTTATGAGAACAGCTACGTTTCCAGAATGCGGACAATCAAAATATAATGATTGTAATTGTAGCAGTAATAATGTAAACAAAGCTTGCCGAAAAATTACATCAAAAAGCGCTAAAATCTCAAAATGTCTGCTGCTGGCAGGTTCGCACATGCAGCCACGTGCAGCTCTGCTACAAGTCACTGGTGAGGTGGTGAGGTGGCGAGTGGCGAGACGCCGCGAAGGAAGGCCCTAGATTGCAGCTAACTTCGCTTTTATAGCCATCTTGCAGAATATTACTGTGGTGCATATTATGCGAATAGTCCATATTTAGAGAACTTATACTATACAGGGTTTTTATTATTATAATTTATTATATATTTTGTAATATAACGCCCAAGTTTGCAGAGAAGGTTCTGAATAAGTAATATAGGTAAAGAGTGAAGAAATTATTAAATTTAAAAAATCTCAATTATTTTGTCTTATCACTGATGTTACCAATTTTTAAAATATTGGTACTAATTTCGAGTTAAGGATAATTAATAAAATAAGGTTTAATAATATTATTTAATTTACACATTCATTACATAATTTTATACTTATTTAGTTTCACGAAGCACTGATAAGGTCAACTACTTTCAATTTGAAAATTCAATATTCTTAATATCTAAGGGCTGATTTATCAATCATCAAAAATAGTTATTCATCAACAAAATTTTAACCTGAATGAATATAAGAGTGAAAAATTTTAACTATTCTATACATTTAGATATCTGTAAATATTACCTTTACATATTACATATTGGATTTGTATGTTCTAAATAAATAACTTCTGATGATTAAAAAATCATCATCAAGTTGCACTTATTAAAAATTTATTTACATTATCAGCCTTATATTAATTTCATAGTTTTGTATGTTTTTAAATCTAAGTTAAAAAATATAAACGTCCATAGTAAAAAAGATAAAATGTAATGTAAAAATCACGAAAAAATAAACAATTAAAATTTTAATTCATTAAAATAAACAACCTATATAGTTGCCTACCCTAAAGACGAACAGACAGTTAACAAAAATATTAAAGTGGTACAAACTATAAAACTGTTTGTATGCCTATACTGAAACTTACTGCGATAAATTAATATTCATAAGTTCTTTGAGTATGAGCGAATGTGAGTGATAATAAATGTTAGAAGGATAATATTTAACTAACATGGATGGATGGATCATCGTGATTGATGGCAGTGTAGACAATTGTATATACGAAAAGAAATTAGCATTGAAATCTCATTTTTACTTCACATACGAATAATCTCTTACAATATCATAAAACTATTCTATGATAATTGAGAATTACATTTAAATAAGTTGATAATAGGGACGAGATGAAGATGCTGTGGCTGAAGGCAACCAGCCAAGTCCACCCTGCAGAGGCGAGCATGGGTGCCCGCGAATTATTAGTCAAGGCAGAGGGGCTGCACTCCCGCGGCATCTGATCAGTTGCCATACTATGTTGCTAATTATTTTTTTAAAGAATATTAACATTGCCATAAACATTACTAATATTCCCTTAACCACTCATGGTAAACTTAAATTGCTTGTGTTACGAGTGGTTCACGCCAGTAGTCGAATGGCGGATGCGAACCCACGACCTTTTTGAGTTCGCGGTCCGCGCCCTGCCATTAGGCTACTTATATTAATTTAAATTTATTCTTAGCCTTATGTCGTATGTTGTTTCACTTAATTAACTTTAATAATTCATTTTATGTCACTTAACTGTTAAAATAACCTTAAAAAACCTTTGTTTCACTTAATTAACTTTAATAATTCATTTTATGTCACTTAACTGTTAAAATAACCTTAAAAAACCTTTCTTCCTTCTCGCTTTACACAGCTAAGTACTTAGAAATGTTTATCAATGTGTATTGAATAAGAATAAGTTTTTCTTAAATTTATGGAGATCAGCACCACGTAAAAGATATAGGGAAGTTCAACCCAACCTTATCAAAAATGTTGTAGTTTTTGTACTAAAGGTAAAGTGACGTAATTTTTTTCTACAAAATATTTTGCACAATAAAGATAGAAATTAGATGGGAAAGAATCTATTCCTTCCAATTTTTATGCCAATCAGTTATATTAAAAATTCCATTTTAGACACTGAGAATTCTATAAACAATGCTGTTTCAATTTTATTTTACTGTTGCAAAGTCTTATGCCTGTTAAATCATTAATTCTATGATTAGTCAAAGGCAAGGATATATGCATTGTTATTGATTTAATGTCCTTTTCATAAAATTTAATTAACTAAGAGCGAACTTGATTCAGTTAGTTAAAATAAGCTGAGATAAAATCATATTAGCAATCTGTTTTATATTAAAAGTGACAGACGAGCTCTTCTAATGGACATTATGTTTAAATTTATATCAAAATGCAAACATAAGTTTGTTTGTGGGTACATCTTGACTACAATTTTTGGGGAGTAATACTTATTACCATTCACTGTCTCCTTGCTCGTTTTGAAAATTTGATACTAAGCCATTAGTGAATATTTGTCAACATTTCATAGAATTTATCATAGAATAATTTATTTGATATGTGCAAACATCTTGATTAAAAGAAATATAGGATAGATATTCATATAGAAATAATAATTCTTACCTAAGCATTTATACATTTACATTACTATACATACTATATCATACATATGCTTCCACTCTACGACCTCTTATTCTATCAAAAAATTGATGCCAAGAGACTAAAGTCTTACTTGACCAGATCCAAAAACTTGATGTTATACCAACAATCATCGTCATGAGATATTTAATCATGAACATTTCAAATTTAGGTCTCTCTATGTCTTGGTAGGAAAATGGACATGGGATAGAATAGATTGGAGTAGTACATAAATCACGATGCCATGTTACCATCCACTTATCAAAATGAACTTGTTCATAAAATAAACATGCTATTACAATAAGTGCAGGTACTGTATACAGAACACCAAATACTCCAATGCGAATCATTAACTTTTCTAATTTATCAGTTTTGGTGCCATCATGCTTCATTACCGTTCTTATTCTAAACAAGGAAACAAAACCAGCAAGAAGGAATATTGTTCCAAGTACTAGATATGCACAAAGTGGAGCCAGGACAAATCCTTGGAGAGCTTCAGCATCCCAAAGTCCCACATAGCAAACACCAGAGAGTATATCACCTGGGAAAAAAATATAAATTTTATAAAATAGGTATATTATGTAAATATTGTAGAAACTAATAATAAAGTGTGGGGAATTATAAAGTATGTATATGTCTAATAATATTACCTATGACCGTCATTGATATAACAAATTATCTATTAATTTATATTTTTAAAACCCTGTTTATTTTTATACCTCTATCTTATTGCACACAAACATGTGTCTATGTAGACAATTTTCATTGTTCTATCCAATTATGTGGATTCCCAAACCATAATATAAAATAATAAAATATAGTATTTACAGTTATAACCAATATTTCACTGGTCTCTCTTTATTACTTAGAATGACATGGTATTTATGTTTTCTTTCCTTTCTTCTAGAACAAAATTGTATCTTGTTTTTTTTTTGTTACAGAGGAAATCCTTCTTTGTAGCTACATTTATTTCCTTTGCCTAAGGAGGTCTACAATTGGAATTACTCACAGTCACCTCTTAAGACACCCACAAGATGAAAGTATGATTTCTGCTATCATAGAAAAACCTAAGTAAAGAAATAATTTTTTATTTTATTTTGAGATTTTCTTATTAAATAATTCTTTTTAATACTATTTACTTAATTATAGTATATATAAATTAAAAAATAAAGATTGTTAAAATAATACAAAATATTGATATTTATACATAAACATATAAAAAAAAAGAAAAAAGTTCAAACATGCCCGCTATACTGTCCACATTACCACATTGTATAGCCAGTTAAATATGTTGAATCAAAAACGATTCTCTGATTTAGGATGCATTGAGATTCTCTTGAAAGAAGAAATTTGATATTGGAGTTAAAAAAATTATCTCCCATACATCAGTCTACATAACGGAAAAACCTCTTACTTTTGTTGTATATTGCAGATGTGTTAATAGCTATAAGTTTTTACTATTTGTGACTACTATGTTTAATAAACTATAGATCTGTTGATTATAAAAAATAAAAATAAATTGGATAATTATTTCATATCTTATACATATAGTATAGGATATGAAATAATTATACTCATTAAACTTACCATCAACTTTTCCCATAGCTAAAATGGAAATTGTCTTTATAGCAGGTACTGCCCAAGCAGCCAAATGAAAATATTGTGAATTAGCTTCAATTGCTTCATGGCCCCATTTTAATCCAGCTGCTAGAAACCATGTAAGTGTTAAAATCACCCACCAAATACTTGAAGCCATACTAAAGAAGTATACAATCATGAATAGAATTGTACATGGTTCATGTTTTGTGCCTTGTGTAATTACTGATATATTTGGTAATCTTGTTCCACTTATGGTAGGTGGGAATGGGCCTTGGCAACTCACACTATCACCTGCACTCCAACCCATAACATAAGATGCAGCAACCATTAAGTAACAAACTGAAAGAAATATAATAGGCCTTTCTGGGTAGCGAAAGCGGTCAGTATCTATAAGAAAAGTCAGAACTGTAAATAAGCAACTTAATGCACATAGAGTTGCCCAAATTCCAATCCAAAGCCTGGCAAAATTCTTTTCATCCTGGCTAAAAAATATGCCATTACAAGGTGCTCCACAATCACGTTCAACTTTGTCACCAACCTTCAAGGAATATTCCAAGTCCAAATTCTTTGGTATTTTGAACTGAACAGGACACACAAAGCCAATATCTCTTGCACCATGCTGTTTTGTAGGGTCTCTATCAAGGTTAGCTTTAAAATCAACTTTGGGGTGTTTTGATTCTGAGGGTTGTCGAGATTGAGTGCCATTATTATCGCCGACACATATATCACTGCCAGCGGCTGGGAATGTTGAGCATTCTAAATATTTTGGCCAAGGCAATCCATAAAGTAGCATGCGTTCATCACAGTTATGTTTTGCAGATTCACATAAATGACGGCATGGTGGTATTGGTTTTTCTAATATTGTACATACTGGGGCAAACACTGAACACAAAAAGAAATTTAAATCAGGAGAACAATTTAATTTTATAAACGGTGTATACTGTAGCACTTCTTGACCAGCGTCGGACTGTTTTGCGTGATTAAGTATATTGGGAAAAATAGTTTGATTATATCTTATATGCTGACATAGTGGAATAGTAATTGGTTCACAACGTCCATGGTGAGGTAAATTATCTCCTTGATAAACAGTAACACGTGAACTTTTAGTTAAAACAAACAAATGAAGCACTAGCACAAGAAACGAAATGTAAATACTACTCATTTTTCTTTATAACTATATTTATTCATTTTTCAAAATTCATTCTTAAAATAATTTCATTAACAAAAAAAAATTAGGAAAATAGAATTGAGAATAGAATGTGTTTGCAATGCAAACAAACCAAACAAACTTTGTTTTTTGTTTAACAAAGCCGCTGGCTATCGAATCGTAAATCGTAATCGCGGTAGGGATGTTCATCGATGTTAAAAATCAAAACATCGATGTTGCTACATATCAAACATCGAAACATCGATGTCAATAACCCATAATCGATTAGTAGGAACTTGTGAAGAACGCCAACCCGCGAAATCTATATAAACTAAATCTTGCATCTCCGATTAAAGCTTTAAAATTTTGAACAATTCAGAATTACTAAATGCATTGAATGCCTAAAAACTAACATTATGGTGTGTCTAACTTAACCTTAGAACTTAACTGTCAAGTGTGAACTCAAGTGTGGTGTCGTTGTCGTTTGTTGCCTAATAACTATTATACGTAAATTGATATTCAAATGAATTGTTTTTTACTTGCTGTCTATATCCATATACTTAATTTTGAAACAATATGTGAGTATATTTACACTATCCAATTATATTTAGCTGCATTTTTGAGCTTATCATAACGAGTTTATTGTTTTCTTGAACTTTACGGTTTTCGTCGGGGTCGACCAGCTGTTGATCTTCTGGTTAACCTGACTCATAGATGAGCGAAGGCAATAGAGTCCATGGGGTAAGCATTGGCCGTTAGTTTGGACATAGCGAAGGCTTTCTATCGGGTTTGGCACAAAGCGCGTCAGTCGAAGCTCCTTCGCTATAGACTTCCCGAGAATTTGTGCAATTGCATCATTAGCTTTCTTGCAAATCGGAGCATCAAGGTCATTGTAGACGGGGGCATACTCCGATTACAAGCAATGCTCGCGTTCCACAAGGCTGCGTGCTATCACCAACGCAGTTTCTTCAGCATATGAATCATATGTTGCAAACCGGTAACATTAATTGCTATGCGGATTACAACACTGGTGATGCTCTGTACACCGGCCGTGCCAATATTTGTCGATAAAAGGTCGCCGAGTACTGGGACAAACTTGCGTCTGAAGTCGAGTTATTGCTGAACAAAGTCTCGGATTGGGGCGACTAAATCTAGTTCATTTTAATTCTCAAAAGACTCAAGTTTGCGCGTTTACCGCTAAAAAGAACCCCTTTGTCGTATCTTCTCAGTTTTAAGTCACTTTCCTTGTTGCCTTAGCCAGTATCAGAATCATCTGCGTCAACATATCGAGTGACGTGCAGTTTCATGGTCACTTAGAAGAGAACGCCAAAATAGCCTCTAAAAAGCTTGGTATGCTCAGCAGAGCGGGACAATATTTCATGTCGGTACACCACCTGCAACCGTAAAAGATGAAGGTTCGGTATCATATGGAATACTGTTCCCATCTCTGGGATGGGGCTCTCTAGTAATAGCTCCTTCCGCTTGACCACATCCAGCGCAGAGCGGTTCGAATTGTCGACGACCGAGTGCTTTCCGATCGACACAACTCACTGGCGCTGCGAAGAAATGTTGCATCTCTTTGCATTTTATTTCGAATCTACCACGGGGAGTGCTCTCAGGAATTGTTTGGGTTAATCCTAGCTGCCAAATTTCATGAACGCACATCGCGGCAAACCTCCCGATACCATGCACACCATCTGGATGCTTGGCGGTCCACCACTGTACGTTTCCCTAGGAGTTTTCTTCCGCGTACGACTTCTTTGTGAAATAGTTTACCACCGGCGATATATTCGAAATGATACGACTTAGGGAACTTTAGGAAAAGAGCTTACTAATTCTTTCTAAAAGGCCGGCAATGCACATGCAATTCCCCTAGTGTTGCAGTTGTTCATGGGTGGCGGTAATCACTTAACAGCAGGTGAACCGTATGCTCGTTTCCCCCGTCTCCTATAAAAAAGGTTATAAAAAAAGAAAATTACACTGCATAGAGCATTCAGAGTCGAACACTGTATTTTATAAACGACTATGGATATTTACTGTTTAGGCTGTCTGAATAAACTTGTGAACAAAGGTGACGGAAAAGTCTATTATTTTGTTTTGTGTGGTTTGTTAATTTTTTCTCCATAATCATATTTTTTCTTTCGCAATAGTAGTTTATATAAAAACGTTTAAGTCGTAACTTAGGTCCCATAGAAAAAAAATTCATACCAGATTTGTGAATGTATAGAACATTTAAAATCAAAATAGTACATTCATCATGATCAGCAAGAAATATTAGACTATAACAAATGAACTAGATATTTAATAAAACTATTATTTACGGATTTTATCGCGTTTAAGTACAACTTTAATTTATTTTTATTATCCCGTAGTTTCGGGTGCTTTACAGCACCCATGGGCACGGGGGGGGCGACTGAGATGTTTGACGTTCCAATGTCATAGTTAGTCCGGCTACCTTCAGTTTTTGAATATTAATTTTTGGTCCGATTTAGGCAAAACGAGCTTATAGTATCATGAAGTCTTGCAGTGGTATGCTTGGGTTTGGGTTTAATTTTGTTAATTATAGGATCCCAAGCATATGGCAGCACCCATCCAGCTTCTCTATTGAAATTTGGATGTTTTTTAATTTTAATAGCCTCGCGTATCATCCTTGGTAGGAATCGGTGTTCTTTTGCGAGGATTTGTGGTTTATCAAATCTAATGTAATGGTGGAGACGATCTTGAACATGTTCGCAGACTGCAAACTTCCCGGAGCGTCGGTGTTTCACGTCAGCTATATGTTCCTTCACTCGGGTTTTTAAAAATCTTTTTGTTTGACCTATGTAAGAAAAAGTGTAGTGTTAAATAAAATACGTAATAAAATAAATGAGTCCAAGTAATATTAATTTGAATAAAAAAAGAACCATTGAAACCGGTAGTAGGTACCTAGTTTCGTGCATTTCCCATCTGTATGGTTCACTTTGCACAATCTATAATTTTCATATAGAAATGGCAGCCACATTGCAGCGGTAGTAAAGAAAATAACAAATACAATTAACCATATTGAAATATTCATTAAAAATTCATGATTTCTTAAATTCAGGCCATCTAGCGTCTATTTTACGTACCACCTTGGGTATCTATCAGTTCTTCGATAAAGTGACTACCTACAGAATGAAGTAGGTGGCGATATTATAGTTTTACTCGAAAGAAAAGATAATATATAATATATTAAAAGACGGCTCGACATTCACTTGAGCTATTACGATCATTAACACAGTGTCAAAATTTACGTTCATATTGTAGCAGTTTTTCATTGCCTGAAAACACGGACAAAAAGACATTTTCTAAAAATAAATCCTATAATCCTCATAGCTAGATCGATTTATTGCCCCCGAAACTCACTGGACACTAAATTTTATGAAAATAATTTTGCAATAATCGCATAGGTTATGGTAATCAGAATCCCTGTGTAAGTTTTTAACTGTTTCTGGAACTATAGTTTTTAAAATGCGTAGTTGCAATGAATAAATGTTATTTAAATGTGATTTGTAAGTTTGCACATAACTAGACAAGTCATATGAAATTTTAGATTCGGCCAGTGATTTATATAATTATTGTAACAGAATTCTATAGGGGACTTTATACTTAATTAAGGAGAATTTTGCTAATATACTTCGAAGTCCGTTACACACAACCTCAATATGATGTTTCCAGTTGAGTCGAATGTCTGTTATAAGTCCTAAGTAAGTCTGAGCTTCTACCGGCTCTAATTCTGCACAATGATAATTGAGAGTCAATTGTCTTTTGTGAAGACATAGGTGGTCATTCACAATAATGCTAGGTATTACTTTACTCCTATTGTGACTTGAACTTATATACATAAGCTTGGTCTTGCTAGCGTTAATAACTAATCCTTTATCGTGAGACCATTGTGTTAATATATTAAGTTCTTCTTGCAGAATGCGGCCAGTTTCGTTAATATTTTCGCCTGCTGCAACGAGGCACATACCGTCGGCCTACTGGTATATTTCGCAACGCCTGATGATGTTTGCCAGACTATTAACATAGGTGATGTAATGCAATGGTCCAATTACAGAGCCTTGTGCTGCGCCTACCGAAGAGTTAACATAATCACTAATGGCATCCCCCACTTTTACCGCATATTTACTGTCATTAAGATAATCTCTGCCCCATGACAATAATGGCCCTCTGTTACCACTATCATTAAGACTGTCTATTAGCTTATTATGATTAAGTGTATCAAACGCTTTAGTATAGTCTACAAAGACTACCAAAACGTGTCTCTTCTTATCTAAATGCTTGTAAACGCAGTAAGTAAAGGTCGATAACAGTTGGGTGGTATTTTTCTGCGGTTGAAAGCCATACTTTTTTTCCGTTATTATATTATTTTTAGAGTAGAAGTCATAAACCTGTCTGCAAATGTATTTTTCAGCAATTTTATCTATTACGGGTAAAATAGTAATTGGCCTATAGTTGTCATGCACCATAGTGCTACCCTTTTTATGGATAGGATATAAACTATGCCAGTTTTTAAAATATGGTGATACTTTCCACTTTTTATACAGACATTAATAAGATTTGCAATTACGTCACTGACTAAGGTGCATATTTTTTATGTCTATAGGTCGTATCTCGTCAATACCTGGCACTTTATTACTGTTTAGGTTGCGTACTATTTTTTCTACTGCATTAGCATTAGCAGGTACAAAGCGTAAGGAGATATTCGCGTTGTTACTATACAATGACTTATCCAATAGAGGCAGATTACAATTAGGGATTGATTTTTTGACGCTTACGTCGAAAGTTTAAGCAAATGAACATGCAATCTTATATGGAGGATTACTATTGTTACCAAAGTTGTCGAGCAATACGTCATCAATCGATTTTGTAATTCGCCCCGTTAATTTATTTAATATCTGCCATAGGGTTCTAGGATTTTGTATGTTCTTATTAATTTCTAATTTAAGCCACTTATTTTTACTTTTTTGAATCACTGTGTTTGCATAATTTCG